TCGTTATCATTTAGTTTTCGATAGTATTTTTCTCATTTTCGCTTCTCTAACACGGAGTCGCGTTAAGATTCAATTTTTAATTATAGAGTATTACAGAGAGGATTAATTACTGAACATTTTTCTCGCTTACAGTATGAAGGCCCGATTTTTAGTTTCTGAAATATTTTAATCCATATGTAAAAACATCTCAATTAATCGACTTTAGCACTTTGGAAATCTGACTGATCAATTTAATTCACCATCCAAAAAAAAGTTCAAAACGCGCCTAATGAAGTTTTCACTTGTAAGCGCCTAATGAAGTTTTCACTTGTAAGCGCCTAATGAAGTTTTCACTTGTAAGCGCCTAATGAAGTTTTCACTTGTAAAACTTATTTTTAATATTCTAGCTAATTTAGAATATGAATATCATAAATTCATTAATAAGCGCTAACTGTTTAGAAACCTGGCAATATTAGTATGAATTATTTACGGATACAAAACATGGCTACTCACATTGAGAAATAGAGTTTATGGTTGGATACCAAAACCATTTGATGTCTGAAAATATACCGAATATTAAAAGTTCTGGAATATCCAATATAAACGAATAGATTCCGGAATAAGCTTAAGCCTGGACAGAAGTAAGCAGTTTTTGTATCGTGCTGGAATTGGAAATTTTACATGCTGAATTGGCAAGTTGTTTTCTAGTAGCTCCTTACTATCCTCTCCACTAAATAAAGTATATTGAATTGTTTTCAATTTTCTATCCTTATATTCATCTTAAAATTGTGTGAAAACTATCTTTAGATTTTTTTTCAATAATATCTTAAAATATTCTAGAACAGTTTGAATGAGATTAATAAATTTAAAATAAGACTTTTTTGTTATTGGGATTTTATGAAGTATGAAAAACATAATAGTATTTAGTAAGGGTATATAAAAATAAATGGCCCTTTTTCAACCAAATATTTGTGTTATTATTTCTTTGATATTAAATATAAATAATACTCAAAGTATAGTCCATTGTTATCTATCGTCATTAGCCATCTGCTAGTCAATTACTCGATCCCACGCTGATAACATTCTTAGGGATGGCTGTCGAAGAATTCTTGAACCGCAATTTCAACTTCCGGGAAATTATCAATTTTTTTCTTGAAGAAAATGGGCCATGGATCTAAATAAGTTGTAATCCGATGTGAGAGGTCTGGACTATATGATATATGAGGCAGGAGTTTTCCACGTTTTTCAATAAATTTTCACAAATATCCAACCTCTTAGCTGATTGCTGAGGAGTAAGTTCGTGTGTGACCAGTCTACTGCTCTGTTCCACCTTGATGAGTAAATTTCATTAGGGAAATATTTAAAATTTTCTTTTTCTCATATTCTAAGTAATAACTAATTTATTAAACAATATCTGGTCGAAATACAAATTCATTTTGTAAGGATATAGTCCGTGGTACAGGCCCTTTTTATGAGTTTTTATGAAATTATTAATATCCGCCTTAAACTTCATGAATAGCTTCATCACATCGTAACCTAGAACTATTTTACTAACGAAAACTCTCGGGATTGGGGCGTGACCTACACCCCCAATCTGTCAAAACAACGAGGTTATGTAGACCAAATGGCCCAATATTTTTGTAGGATATTTTTTTTCTCAATTTTGTGATCAAATTATCTAACGATTCAAGTGAAGAACAAATGTGTATTTACGAATTTTTAGTACCTAATTAAACACATAATGTTTGCTGATCTCCAGATTGAAAACGTCCCAATTCCAAGAGTTTTCGTAAATATAATAGTTGTAGGTAGATCAAGCTATTTACGAAATTTTAGGCGGATCTTTGATAATAATTTGATAAAAAGGAGTCTGTACCACGGATTAATATTATTATCAGATAAAAGTATTTCTATCCTGCTTAATGAGTAAGGTACGGACATTCAAAGCTCAAGGCCCGGGTTCGAAATTGGAAAGTTATTTATTCTGTCGCCATTGATCAAGGGGAGACTCTCCTGGGGTACACTAAGCCTCCATGAAACAGTACTCTTAATCGATTAAGGGAGAGAACCTGGCAGTTGAGCGTGATACCGGTCCAATCACCTCCGTGCACAATCTTTGACGTTGGAACAGTACTTTACGAAGTACTGAACCCAGGAATCTATGGATTGTAGTAGCACAGTTTTTTTTTTTTGCTATTACTATTACTAGTGTTGCCCAAATGCGAGACCGAGACGAGTCTTGGTCTTGCAAACTCCGTCTTGGTCATGGTCTTGGTCTTGCGCAAGAGTCTCGCAACAGTCTTGCAGTTACTTATTATCTTATTACTATAGAGATGTTACAGTAATTTTTTACATAAGAGAAACCTAACTAAGCCCAAATGAAAAATTAGGGGAGTTAAATGCAAAAGTATATTGGTTATACCAATTATTAACATATAGTAACTAAAATTGTCAAGTATTAATAACTATTTTGCCTTAATTTTTATTTTAAAAAATCGATTTTTTCCTGGTTTTGGTCTTGCAAAAGTCAGGCGGCCTTGGTCTTGGTCTTGCAAAGGGCAAGACCAAGACCGATTTTGGGCAAAACTAACTATTAACTACAGACAACTTTAAAAATCATAGTAAGGCAAAGAAACAGCGATATCTTAATCGGTAAAATGAAAATCAAAACAAAAAACTATGAAAATGGGAGCACTTGGAAGGATACTTATCTTTGAGAAGTTAAGTATTGGTGTTAAAAATTATTAAGGTTTGATATCCGAGAGCTTGAATACTTAATCAGAAGGGATTACTAATGCCGGTAGTGATAATGTTTTATTTCTTTTTTTTATTGTTTGTTTCTCGAGGAGCTGCCCTGGCCTCGTTTCGTCATTATCTTTTTTATGTCCGCCGATTTATTACCGACTCGTCCTTTTTTCCCATTCCTTCATATCTGACCTCCGAACATGCGCAATACTCTTACTGCCTTTGTTCTCATTGAGTATATGACATGGAGATAGTGATAATAATAAATTCACTTCCTACATTGCTTCTGTTCCCTAAACTGATTCAAGGTTAGGCCACTCTGCAGGGAACATTGCGTAAACTGAGATAACCGCCTCAAGTTGCTCAAAAATAAGTGATACATATTTTCTGAAGTTCTCATTACAAGTTGAAACCATTTGGTACCAGAAGGTAGGTTGACTCTCATGACCATTGAATCTGACAGGATGAAGTGAACCCGATTTCTCGGGTTTGTGTCAGATTTTGTTCCACATAAATCGTGAGTTTCTTGCGTCAAACAGAAGTTATTTATTTCGTATTATGACATATAAATTTATATATTCTATTTTTAATTCTTCAATCCAAGTCATAAAATAAAATCATTGGCAATTTTATGCATTTAATTCCATATTTTATTAAAAAATAAAATTTTATCAAACTTCTTTTTTTTTTTTTTACTTTCTGAGGAAGTAGCCAGGTCGTTAAAAACATAAGACCCTTTCTCACAATTGCTGAAATTCGAGGCTCAAAAGAAAGTTGTAGTGGTTCCGGAAATAATGACAGCTCACAAAGAATGATTTCCGAAGCCAATTTAACAAATCTCTTTTTGATGTTTTTTTCTTCTCTTTGCAGATATTGTGTATGTTGCCCGATGAATAATATCAGAGGATAAACGAAATCTCTCTTATCATTCTCCAATTTTAGCCATCAGAAAAAGAGTTATACGTTTTTTTCAAAACATGGCTACTTCCTAGAAAGAAATCGGTGTTGGCTCAAGATATCCTTAAGTTACAGATTTTTTGTATACTATACTCCGCTATACACCCGTTACATCACTACCTCAACGACATGGAGCTCCAAATGGTTGTTCTTCCTGCAAGAAATAAAAACTTATTTCCTAATAACAAAAATCTTTATGATCACACTTTTCCTTAGTTCAAGAGTCTAAATCCTTGTCTATGTAAAACAGTAAAACAATCAATCAAAATCAGTTAAACTTAAGGAAGGAATTTCCTTGCTAACCAAACAATATCAGCTGGAAACAGATTAATGAAAACGATTTCCTTGATATAAAAACATGAAGAAAATGTTGAACATAATGGCATTGGTGACTACGATACTGCTCATCCCAGATGTGTTTATAATCTGAATATTGTGCTCCACCATACTGGTACTAGTTCGGCTTTAACGCAATCTTCTCGGACATTTACCATTCAGTACAGAAAATGTCAACCTAGAAATTCTTTCGTTACCAAGCCCAACAATTTTACAAACCCATTTCATTCTCCGCGATTTAATCACCTGAATTATATTAACTGGATACGAGTTCACGCAACTCGGCGTTGTGCAATCTTCTGAACTTTCCGGTTAACCCATCTTTCTTCGGTCCGAATATTCTACGCAATACTTTATTTTTATATTTATATTTTTGTGAGTGAGTTGAGGTTACCGGTGTTAACTTTCCAGAGTATTAGTTTCAAGATACATCTCCTGGAGTTTCCAAAAAATCCGCATTAAACGCTTCAGACGGGAATTGAACCCACAACGCTTAAAACCAGAAATCTGGAACTCCGGCCCCAATGTGCTTGATCACCGCGTCATCTGTATTTCACCATACATTATAGTGGAATCTATGTAGCCGTTTTAAAATAAAAAAATAACCAAGTAAAAATACATAATTTCGACAGAGAAAAACATGTAAACATGTGAATTCATTGTGTGAATGAATAGACATCATTTATATTATATTAACCATCCGTTTAATTGGCAAAATTTTTGCGTTGTAATTTATATTTTTTTATTGTCCCACTGATTTTTTTTTTCTTTCACATGAATAATGTAGAAGCTAATGGCTTTATAGCTCATCCAGAAGTGGCCGTGTATCCCTGACGCCGTGTTGTACAATGTCGCCGACAATACTGTCCCTTAACCGCCATATTTTCAGTCACGCATTCAGATGCAAATCCCAAAAGCGCTAATGGATGGAGGTGGAATTACTAAAAATGGGGCTAGCAAAAAATTTAATCGGGTCAGTTGGAATGTCCACGAGTGGAGATGTCGACATCACTCAGCGCCCATCTTCCGCAGCCCTTATCTATTCCTACACTGACACAGTCCGATCCCGTTCTCGGCTAGGCCTATACGTCTCGCTATCTCCTCGCTTCGGCAATATATCGCCTTGTCCTCTCCTCGGCCAAAGAATATTATTTCTAAAAGTACCGCAATATCGGGAGATAGGGACAGCGAACTGCGCCTTAGCTACAGGCCGATAAATACTAGGCTGCCCTTGGGATATTTATCATTGGGGTGGTGGACATTCTCAACAGGACAGAAGAAGTGCAACAGTTGCCATAAAGAATGAGATAAGTACGTCAGGCATGAATTCAACAGGGCAGGCGGTGTTGGATCCATAATATTATCGGTCACTCGGCGCAGATTTTTTTACGTCCGTTTTGAGGTGTTAAAGCAGATCATTGCGTTTAATATTAAAAACGCCATACATCACTGATTATTAAAATATTAATTTAGCCGAATCATAATGAAGGATATGATTGAAATTCTGAATTCAGACTAAGATTCTAGTTCCCTTTCACCACTCCAATTTGAAGATCAATCAGAGCACGCTACTCCTTGATTTCCCAAAATACCATTATATGTCCTTAAGAAGACGGAGTCTTCTTAACCCCAAACTCTTGATTATAAATTACCTGCCTTGTTAAGAGAGAAATTTTACTTAAATATAAGCGTCCATAATAATTGTTAAGATATTAAAATAAATATAAAGGAAGGAGATGGTTCGGGGTGGCGGTCATAAATAAGCTGAATAGAGGCAAAACTATTTTATTAAAAGCCAACGTTTCGACCCGACTTTGCAGATCTTATTATAGGCTAGAATGGACAAGATAAAAAAAGATAAAGAATTGTTGAAGTTACATAATATTATGACAAAAAATTATAAACAATGTGAATAAGCTTATTAAAATTATAAACAGTAAGTACATTGTCTTTTAATAAAATAGTTTTGCCACTATTAAATATTCAATAAAATAAATATAATTTGTGGGATTCCGAACTGATAATCACTGTTTCGGATCTGATAATCAGATTATTAATTACGAATAACAATGATTACGTCGTTATGAATTTTCGCGGCTTGGCGTGACAACCACCACAAGATGTCAAAATAAAGAGGTTACAAAGTCAAAAAGGGTCAATATTTTTGTAGGTCGCCTTTTTTTTATCGATTTCGTGATCGAATTATCTTACAGTTCAGGTGGAATGCAAATGAGTGTTCATGTTTTTTTTTAAGTATCACTCAATAACTTTACAAAGTCTACCAATCTCCAAATTGAAATTGCCCTGTTTCTGAGAATTTAGCAAAGTTAGATTAAATTAAGACATTTACGAAGTTTTAGACGAGTGTAAATAATTTGATAAAACGTAGCCTGTTCCTCGGATTAAAATGTTTATAACACGATCTTATCCAGCAAGGGTCTTGTCACTGTTCTATTTTATAAATTTATATAGTCATTTTATAATTAACATTATATATGTATAAAATAATATTCGTTTTAGACTTCAAAGTTCTTTCTAGTTTGGTAATTCTTATAGATTTTTTAAAGTGATAAGTATATGTGCGTGTATATATGTGATAAGAATTAACTTGTACTCTTAGCAATACTAAGTACATGAATAGCATAAATACCTTGAAAAAGCATAAACGACATTTCCTTATATTTGCAGTTTAATAATTAATATAGTTGATTCCGCTAATTATGCTAAGAGAAATTATTCGTTCTTTGCTCTAGATTTGAATTAAAGAAACTATTAAGGAAAATACAGTTTCAACTTGGAGATGGAAAAAAGGTTTTTAAATATTTAATTGGTAACAACCGATATATAACGAGGAAACAACATAAAAACAAATCTATAATCTTGATATTAAAACATTTTTCTCAGATCATTATTACTTAATTAATTTATAAGATTTGACAGGACCTAATTAAATTATTGATTATTTAACAATGATCAATAATTTCATTAGAGACGAGACAATCTTAAATTTTATGATCTAGGAAAGGACTGTAGCAACCTTTTAACCTCTTGGGGTTTTACCTTCCCCTCAGTAAATAATTGAAGGGCTCTCAGTAGTACTTTAAGTAATGTACTTTGTCGCTGCCTCCTATATCAACAGGACATTTTTAATCAACTCCGCGATCGCATTAACCATTTATTTTAGTCGAATCAATTTTTACAAAATACCACCTTTATTTTAAATGCAGAAAGTAGTCTGGGAAGTAATAAAGTTAACGATAAAAATAGTAAATTATCATTGAAAAATTTAAATTTAATCAAAGAATAAAAGAGGTAAAAATATAACATCTCATGAAATTTATCGCATCGAAATTTCACTTGCGATCTCCACACAAAAAAAAACCTACACTATCAAGTAGATCCGTCTTAAAATTTCTAAAAATTTACTTAACGCTATTACATGGTTTAATTTGATGTGCAATAAGGCTTGAGAATTTCGAGAATAAAATGAGTATGTTAATTATTATTTTTAATAATTATAACAATCGAATGGTCATTAATAAACAGTGATCGTGGAGCTGACTAAAAAAAATAAATATATAAAAATACTGAAAGTCCTTCAATGATTTACTGAGGAGGAAAGAAAGCCTAACGATATTATAAATAATTTATCTCTGTTAAATGTGACTTTAAATTATATTCTTATAAATTAATTAATTGATAATGGTTCGAGGAAAATATTTTAATCTCTAGTTTATATGATATCTTCGTAATAAAAAAATTGTTCTTACTAATGAAATATTTACATTACTTTGTCATTTGTAAACTGCAACTACATTTTCTTCAAATTTATCCTTAATATAAAGAAGAAAAATTTGTATTAGCATGGTTAGAGATTATTTTGTGGAATCAAATGCATTAATTATTTAAATGCGGACAGTCGTGCTTCAGCTGTCGTCGGGTTCACATCGCGGATGGTGCTTTTTGAAGTTGCGGCATCTCTGAAGTTAGGATTAACTATAGCTCCTTGTGTAGCAGCCGCCGCCTCGTGTCTGGTTTCCAGGGACAGATAAGCTTGCTATTTTTCCTACCTACTTTTCAAATATTTCTTAACTTACTTATTCAATAATCTTATTAATTGTTTATTTAAATCATTTCATTTCCGTAATATTCTTAGTTTAGTGACTTATATTCTATATTATATAATTACATATTTTTATATTTTTTAAATTTACCTATTAGTATTAAGTTAGCTTGTAATAGTTAATTGAAATGTAGTTTAGGGTTATTTAATTTATACTAATCTAAAACTAATACTTCTCCTCTACTATCATTTTATAAACATTTTTATTCTATATATCCTTTATTAATTTTCTGTCTTTCTTATATTGTAATATGGAGGTACCTCCTGGTCCTCCCGATCTATCTACCGTCCTAACCAAAAAGAGAAAATGGGCTCGCCCTAAAATTAAATTCCCTCCGGACAAAATCATTCCGCAAATCACAGATACAACTCCAACATATCTTGTTGCTAAACGATCCGATCAAGAAGACTTTAAAAAAACCTCTCCATTTTTTATTCAAAAGGTGATCGCTCAGTTAGCAGGTGATGTTAAAGCAGTAAAAAAGTTAAGAGACGGTTGTTTATTGATACAAACACTCAATGGACAACAATCAAACAGACTTTTATCCGTTACAGACTTTGGAGGCCAAATGAAAGTTGAAATAACACCGCATAAAACTTTGAACTATAGTAAGGGCGTTATCCGTTGCTATGACTTCCAATACATGGACATACAGGAAATAAAGAACGAATTAACTCCGGTAATAAAAGATATTGTCAGGATAAAATCAAAACGGAATGGTAATGAAATACTTACACATAACTATATAGTTACCTTTCCAACACCTTTACCTCCAGAAACATTACAAATTGGATACGAAACAGTTAGAGTACAGCCTTACGTACCGAATCCGTTACGATGTTTTAACTGCCTAGGATTCTCTCATCCGACATCACAATGCAAAAAAGAATCAGTATGCGTACAATGCGGCCAGGGAAGACATGGAGAAAATATAAGGTGTAATTTGCCGGCTAAATGCATAAATTGCAATGGTCCTCATAATGCCCTAGACCGGTCATGTACCGAGTTTAAAATACAAAAGGAAATAAAAGCCATACAAATCAATAATAAAATATCACTTTACGAAGCAAAAAACATGTATAGAGAAAAAAATCCCATCCAGTTAAATAAAACATTCGCGGAAATAGCAAAAAATCAAAATAATACAAACAGAAAAGTAGATGTTGCCACTCAGGCTAATATTCTGTACTCTTTCTCAGTTACTTCAACAAACTCACAGATAAATAAACCCAATGAGATTATCTCTCCTGATGTCCAGGCCACACCAGCTATCTCTGATCGAGAGACTGCTCGACCACAGTCAACCGAAGTTGGCAGCCCCGCGGCTACCCAGACTGCTCCCCTCCTCCCCTCCTCTTCTTCCCACTCATCAACCCTCCCTGCCTCTACTTCCTCTCTCTCCTCTAATCTCTCCTCCTCCTCTTCGTCTTTCCCTTCTGCTCCTCTCCCCAACTCTTCCTCCCTCTCTTCTCCTACCCTCTCCACCTCCCTTCCAAATCTCCAATCCCCCAATCCCGATCTCGCTACACCACCAGACGATAAATCTGCTGAAAATGCTGTAGATGGGGAAGGATATACCCTACAAAAGAAAAAAGGAAGACCCCGAAAAAAATCCCCAAATAAAACAAATAATAAATAAAATAGCCGACAACTAAATTACAAATATCATCTTCAAATATGTTAATATATGTTTTTTCCATTCTATACCGTAACTAAATCATGACCCTAATCCAGTGGAATTGCAATGGTATTAAAAGTCACTTCAACGATTTGAAGCTAATAATGGAAGATGAAGATCCTTTTTGTATATGCCTCCAAGAAACGCACCTAAAGCCTTCAAACCAATTCACCCTTAAAGGCTTCAATATCTATAGGACAGATTGTGATCCAGATTACGAGCGAGCGTGTAGAGGCGTAGCCATAGCCGTAAAAGATACCGTTTATTCCCACCCAGTAGAAATAGATTCCCCACTTCAAGTAATAGCTGTTACAGTTCATTTAAACACAACATTCACAATTTGCAACATTTATCTCCCCCAAGACAATACTATAGAGACAGAACACCTTCTCCATATTCATAGGCAGTTGACAAA